CTCTGCTCCGGCCACTGGCCGAGCCTGGCCGTCTCTGGGCCGCGAAACCTGCCCCTGAGGATGATCCCGGCGGGCTTGCCCGAGCGCCGCGGGGAGGACGGGCCCTCGCCGAGGCCACTGGAGAGAGGCACGTAGCGCACGGAGGGCGAGCACGGCCACCGGATCACTGGCTCCAGCGTCGGATTGCTCTGGTAGATCAGCTCCTGCAGGCCTGGCACGTCCACTGCGCCGGCGCCGCGCGAGTCGCCGAGGCCTGCGCGCGACGCCTCGGAGATGGTCGCGATGACCGGCGCCGCGTTGGCAACGTACCTGGCGTTGTTCCGCAGGAACCGCACCCGCCACCACTGCGGGTCCAGCAGGAGGGGCCTGTAGGGCTGCTCGGTGGCGGGGTTGATTTTCTCCTCGAAGAACCTCGACAGTTTCAGAAGGTCCATCTCGGGCTTGTGCCAGTAGACACAGTCCTCCTTGTCCTTGGTCACCACCCACTGCAGGAACTCCTTGGGGAAGTTCGGCCGGTAGAGCGCCGAGCGAAACGTGCCGGCCGAGGGACTGGACGGCGTGCTCGTGGGGTTGCGCGGGGACAGGCTGGTGTCCGGGGAGACCCTCAGCCTGTGGCCCGGGGACACCCCGCTGTCCACGCGGGCCTCGGAGCGGGCCCTGCGTGCCTTGGAGGACTCCTGGAACATCCAGTCGCGGCTGCACTGGAAGACCAGCAGCGCGCTGTCTTTCGCCTGCTGCGGCAGCATGTCGAAGTGCTTGCTCAGGGATGTCGGACACAGAAACACGTACCTCCAGGATGTGGCTCGGCTTATCGGGCAGGGGGGAGGGGCGGAGGAAGTGAAGGAGGCGGAGGAGGTGGAAAGGAGTTGAAGAGGAGGAGGAGGTGTGGGAGGGAGTAGGAGGCAGCAGGGCCAGGAAGAAAGGAGGACGACGAGAAGGGGGGGCAAGCAGGCAACAAGAACTCGACATCCGAGGCAGCGTCACGCACGGGAGAGGTTGCTGATCGGAGGTGAGGGGGTGAGATCGAAGTGGAACGGAGAGCCCCCCTACCGGGAAATCGGTCTCGGTTTCGTGTTCGTGCGTGCCGTGCGTGCGGGCGAGGCGAAGCGGCGTGGGCGGGCGAGAAGTGTCCCGCCTCTGGCTGAGGCGCGGGGCCGGACCAAATGCTTCCTGTCCGGGGGCCGGTGGCGCGCGGTGTCCCGCCGGTGTCCCGCTGGTGTCCCGTCGGTGTCCCGAGGATGATGATGATGATGATGATGATGATGATGATGATGAAGATGTTGATGATGATGATGATGATGATAATGATTATGATGATGATGATGATGATGACGATGTTGATGATGATGATGGTGATGGTGATGATGATGATGATGATGGCCATGGTGGTGATGATGATGGTGTCGCGATGATGATGATGATGATGATGATGATGATGGTGATCATGATGATGTGGATGATGGGATGATGAGATGATGATGAAGATGTTGATGATGATGATGGTGCCACAAAAATGATGATGAGGTTGCTGATGATGCTGATGATGATGATGGTGTCCCGATGATGATAATGTTGATGATGATGACGACGATGATGATGTCCCGATGATGATAATATTGTTGCTGATGAGGATGATGGTGAGGTGAAGATGATGATAATGATGGTGGCCAAATGATGCTGATGATGCTGATGCTGATGATGGTGATGATGGTCTCCCAATGATGATAATGATGCTGATGGTGATGATGATGATGGTGACGATGATGATGGTGTCCCGATGATGATGATGATGATGATGATGATGTTGATGATGACGATGTTGCCGATGATAATGATGACGATGGTGTCCCGATGATGATGATGATGATGATGATGATGATGTTGATGAGGTTGTTCATGATGGAGCTGGTGAGATGATGATGATGGTGGTGTTCCGATGATGGTGGTGGTGTCCAGATGATGATGATGATGGTGACGCTGATGGTGTCACGAAGATGATGATGATGATGGTGATGATGATGATGGCCATGGTGGTGATGATGATTGTGTCCCGATGATGGTGATGATGATGATGCTGATGTTGCTGATGATAACGGTGATGGTGTCTCAATGGTGATGATGTTGAGGATCATGACGATGTTGCTAATGGTGATGATGAGATGATGAAGTGATCATGATGATGATGAGGATGGTGATCATGATGGTGTCCCAATGATGATGATGGGGTTTATGATGATGATGCTGTTGATGATGATGGTGATGATGATAATGGTGTCCCGATGATGATGATTATGATGATGATGATGCTGATGATGATTACGATAATGGTGTCCCGATGAAGATGACGTTGATGATGTTGTTGGTGAGGATGATGTTGCGGTGATGCTGATGAATTTGATGATAGTAGCCCGATGAGGTTGATGATGATGATGTTGATGGTGATGGTGTCCCGGTGATGATGATGGTGACGATGATGGTGACGATGATGACGGTGTTCCGATGATGGTGATGATGTTGCTGATGATGATGGTGCCCCGATGATGATGATGTTGATGATGGTTTCATGATGATGGTGAAATGATGATGATGGTGGTGTTCCGATGATGATGATGGTGTCCCGATGATGATGGTGTTGATGATGATGGTGACGATGGTGATGTCCCGATGATGGTGGTGATGGTGATGATGATGTTGATGATGATGGTGATGAGGTGGTAATGATGGTGTCCCGATGATGATGATGATGATGTTGTCGATGACGTTGGTAACGATGATATTGATGTTGATGATGATGACGTTGATTGTGAGATCGGTTGTGATATCGATAGTGAGATCGATAGTGAGACCAAATGTGAGATAGATTGTGAGATCGATAGTGAGATCGATAGTGAGATCAATCGTGACATAGATAATCAGATCAATTGTGAGATCGATCGAATGAAATAGATCGAGTGAGATCGATTGTGAGATCGATCGAGTGAGATCGATCGAGCGAGACCGATAATAAGATCGATAGTAAGATCGATAGTGAAACCGATCGAGTGAGACGTTGGTTCCTCCCCCCCCCGAACCTCCTTATCACCCGAAGGGTGGTCGTATAGGTATTATGTAACAGGTGTGTACCCGGCGCCGACGCGAGCCACAGCACAAATCCCGCCCCAGATGGGCTGTGTAAGCGGGGTGCAAGCTCAGCCTGCCAGACGCCGAGGAGGATGCTCCCCGACCGTGCAGTTGTCCCAAGACCAGGGCGTGCGTCGAGAAGCGCAGGCGCGATCGCCCCCTCCCTAGGGCGGCAGGAGCCTGAGCCTGCCAGACGCCGAGGAGGATGCTCCCCGACCGTGCAATTGTCCCAAGGCCAGGGCGTGCGCCGAGGGGCGCAGGCACGATCGCCCCATCCCAAGGGCGGCAGGAAGAGCCTGAGCCTGCCAGACGCCGAGGAGGATGCTCCCCGACCGTGCAATTGTCCCAAGGCCAGGGCGTGCGCCGAGGGGCGCAGGCACGATCGCCCCCTCCCAAGGGCGGCAGGAACAGCCTGAGCCTGCCAGACGCCGAGGAGGATGCTCCCCGACCGTGCAATTGTCCCAAGGCCCGGGCGTGCGCCGAGGGGCGCAGGCACGATCGCCCCATCCCTAGGGCGGCAGGAGCCTGATCCTGCCAGACGCCGAAGAGGATGCTCCCCGACCGTGCATTGTCCCAAGGCCAGGGCGTGCGCCGAGGGGCGCAGGCACGATCGCCCCCTCCAAGGGCGGCAGGAACAGCATGAGCCTGCCAGGCGCCGAGGAGGATGCTCCCCGACCGTGCAATTGTTCCAAGGCCAGGGCGTGCGCCGAGGGGCGCAGGCACGATCGCCCCATCCCGAGGGCGGCGGGAAGAGCCTGCCGCTGTGCTCTCTCTCTCTCTCTCTTTCTCTCTCTTTCTCTCTTTCTATATATATATATATATCTATATATATATATATATATATATATATATATATATATCGACGGCGGGCCTTCCCGCTGAGGCTGTGCACAGTAGACACACAGGGGACGAAGTCTGAGCATTTTCTTGGGGTGTAGGGTTCAGTCGGGCGTGTCCCCCTAGAGGGAGATTTTCGACGAAAAATAAAAGATACTCGCATAAATACTCCAAAATGGCCAAAAAATGCTGAAAAACAACATCCACCGTCTATGTTTTGACTACTTTTGAATATTCCTCCTGTAGAGGGACGGGCCCGACTTACGTGCAGGGCTCAGGGTGAAAGCCGTATGGGCTTCTGCACCTCGAGAGTCAGTCCGTCTTGTGATTCACCTTCTGCAGATCCGAGCCTCGAAAACCCATCGAAACGGCATTTAAGACTTCACCCTCTGCCCTCCGCCCAGAGAAAATGGTCGGCAAGTCTTGCTTTGGGACATGCTTGGGGCACAGCCTTCGTCGATCGCGGAGGCTCCTGAGGTGCCCCCAGAGCTTCTGGCGCTCCCCTGGGCCACCTGGGGGACGACGAGATTCCCAGGGAGCGCCTGCTGGCAGGCCGATGCTGATCTCACGTTCCCGTGGCTGCCCCGATGCGCAGCACGGAACGCGTAGCGCAGCAATGCGGAGCTCAGCACGTCGACCGAAAGCGTAGGTACGACGCGATACGTGTGCCCAAACGTGGGCACGTACGCTGATCCAACACGCCAAGTATTGACACGGACGTTCTAAACATGGTACGTCTTGCGCTTCCAAGTAGGCGCATCGCGGCAGCCAAGCACGTGCCTGCTGCAAATCTGGCTGGCAGTGGAGGTACACGTCGTTCATTTCTAATCGTGCTCATTACTAACTGTGCTCGTTTCTAATTGTTCCTGGCCCCCTAGTGGCCAGGAAGAGGCCCAGGATGGAAGAATTAGAATATGAAAGGATCTTGGCCCCCCACAAAAACAAACAACTTGCGAAGAATTAGAAATGAACAACGTGTACGGCTGAAGGGGGAGGGGGACCAAAGGATATGCGGGCGCACTGCGGCGGCCAGGGCGCGCGGGCGAGAGCGAGCACGCCTCAAAACCCGGGCCGCGCCCCCCGCCCACACGTTGACTTCCAAAGCCAGAGAATCCGCCAAGAATCGCAGGCACCATCGCTCTGGGGGGCGGCAGGATGAGCATGCCGTGTCTCTGTCCCTCTCTCTCTCTCTCTCCCTCTCTCTGGCCAGCGAGTCCCGATTGCGCAGACCTGGATGCCTGGAAACAGACCCGAGCCCGGAGGGAAATGGAGGCGCAAAACTATGCGGAGGCATGCACAAGACCGATGCCTCACTTCGCGCGGCTAGATACGGAGCCGGCGGAAGGGGGACCAGCTGGCGACAATGTAACAGAATGCTTGGGTCTGCCAGCAGCGAAAGTGCTGCGCACACACACACACACACACGAAAACTTGGTGCTGCACACAACGACCGCGTAATGTCAGCCGATGTTGAAGAAGTTTGCGCGCCCACGTTTCCTGAGTTTTGATTGTGCCTTGCACTACTTTCTGATGCGGCGAAGCTGAATTAGCGCACGACGTCACACGATCTCTCTTGCACGAACTGCAACTGGATCATGGACCCACAAGTTGCAAGCTTCTGAAATCAGCATTTGCCGCTATTGGCGTACTCGGTAACGGCAGCACTACTGAGCAACCAGCGAGGAAGCGCAAGGGCAACTGACTCTGGATATTGCTCACCAGTGCGTGCCGCGTGCCCTTGCCTCTCAGCCTGTTCCACTACCCTGAAGCATGATGTGATCCAGACAACTGTCCGAGCAGACCCCCTTCCGCTCCGAACGCCTCTTGAAGAGCATGGGAAAGGCAAACCCAGAATTCCAAGAACGAATGCCGTCGATGCTCTACATGTGGTGCCGCGCTGGCAATCGTAATCCGTGCATGTTGTCATGCGCTTGTGAAGGCCGCCGCCCTCCTAATTGGACGGGCTCCATCCGCAAAGACAAGAGTTCTCAGTCATCACAGGCACGCCGCGCCCCAAGGCCACGCTAGCGGCGATGTTGCTCAACGGTGATGCTGGAAACCGAACTGCATGAAATCACGAACCACACTCTCATACATCTCCGATCTGCGGATGCACTGTATCGAATGAAAACGGCACAGCGAATTGTAGGAAAACGCGAGCCGCGCGTTCCCACCGAAACCGAAACCTGCATCGCCGTTACCTGCACCGCCTCTAGCGCGTCTACGCCGCGCTGCAAGGTCGCACTAGGCCTGTGATCCGCGCCCCCCCCACCCTGCCCCTCTCTTCCAGTGCTGTTGTGGGGGTGACCGCCGACCGCAAATTCCTCGGGCCAGCTTTGATTGGAGGAGGGAGGAGGAGGAGGAGGAGGAGGAGGAGAAAAGGAGGAGTAGAAGGAGAGGAGGAAGGCGAGGAGGAGGAGGAGAAGGAGGACGAGGAGGAGGAGGAGAGGAGGAGGAGGAGGAGGGAGGAGGAGGAGGAGGGGTCTCGGGGCGCGGAGGGCAGAACTGAGTCTTCCCATCTGCTTGTGTGCTTCAGGAGGGCTGCCGTAGTGCCACACATCGGCCCTCGGCTTCCCAGAGTTCTCACCCCAGTGCCGCGAAGCGTTCGAGCGAGTCGAACCTGTTCGGTCTGCGGCGAGTTGGGTCAAACGAGCGGTCGGGACAACGGCGGGACGCATTCGAAGCTCACCACGGCGAAAGCAAAGGAGGGGCAAGAAGGGAGGGGGTAGCGGCCGCGGAACGGCCAGAGAGCTCTCAGATCATGTAGATCTTCAGGCGGCACCAGGGGTCAGTCTCATGATCTCGACGCGGCGCAGCAGAAAGGCTAAGCACATGCTGGAAGGCAAGGGTCCAGGACAAAGCCGCACAGCCAAAACAGAGAATGGACGGAGTCAAATAACTACGGAGCAGCAAAACAATGCAACGAACAGCGTCGCGGATGACCCAACTGATCATCACACGACAAACCATTGGATTGGCACTCGTCGCAGATGCGGCAGCGCCGAATCTGCGGGGGCGTGCGGTGGCAGCCTCTGAAGCTTGAGCAACGCGACGGCGACGGCCAGAGCGCGCGGGCAAGATCAAAGGGGGAGGATGGAGAGAGAAGGACGAGGAGGAGAAGAGGAGAGCAGAGAGGAGAGAGGAGAGAAGGAGGTAGGGAGGACGAGAGGTATAAAGGGAGGGGGAGACACGACGGAAAGGTGAAGAGGAAGGGGGAGGAGCAGTGGGAGCAGCAGCAGCAGCAGGAGGGGGGGGCCAGGACAGCGGAAAACGGTCCTCACACACACCCTTTCGGAGGTCGGCGCGGACTTCTTGGGTCGGTGCTGGAACCCCTGCCTTGCCTGGCAGCAGCAGGAGGGGGCAGCTAGAATACGAAAACTGTGCAGGAGCACAGACGGCCGGAGAGCGACGCGGGCCTCCGAAAATCTGCAGTTTATGCCGTGGTTTGCCCTTCGAGGCGCACCTCCGGTTCAGATTCACCCGACTCTGCCGAATCTGGGACGTCGTGCGCGGGTCCAAGTAGTGGAGGGACCAGGAGGCGCTGCTAGCCGCTTGGGGCTCCTCGTCGTCGTGGAACTCGGAGGTCACGCTGTTGAGGGCGAATGAGCCTCGCGTGCTCGGTGTGCCCCCCCCACCCCGAGGCTCCCGGGGAATTCGCCCTCTACCCTCGAGAGGTCGAGGAAGCCGGCTTCGGACGCAGCTGTTGGCCCTCCTTCGGGCCTCGGGAGACCTCCGGGGGCCTCTGAATACCTCTCGGGACATCCGGGTCGTCGTCCTGCTCCTCCTCCTCCTCCTCCTCCTCCTCCTCCTCCTCCTCCTCCTCTTCATCCTCCTCCCCCTCCTCCTCCTCCTCCTCCTCCTCCTCCTGCTCTTCCTTGTCCTCCTCCTCCTCCTCCTCCTCATCCTCCTCCTCCTCCTCCTCCTCTTCTCCTCCCCTCCTCCTCCTCCTCCTCCTCCTCCTCCTCCTCCTCTCCTCCTCATACTACTAACTACTACTACTACTACTACTACTACTACTACTACTACTACTACTACTACTACTACTACTACTACTACTACTACTACTACTACTACTACTACTACTACTACTACTACTACTACTACTACTACTACTACTACTACTACTACTACTACTACTACTACTACTACTACTACTACTACTACTACTTACTGACTACTACTACTACTACTACTACTACTACTACTACTACTACTACTACTACTACTACTACTACTACTACTACTACTACTACTACTACTACTACTACTATTACTACTACCACTACGACCACTACTACTACTAGAATGCAAATACAAATACTGTTAGTACTACTACTACTACTACTACTACTGCTACTACTACTGCTACTACTAGTACTATTACTGCTACTACTACTACCACTACTATTAC